GGGGCACAGCCTGTGTGTATGGCCTGGGGAGAGAGAGAGGGGCACAGCCTGTGTGTATGGCCTGGGGAGAGAGAGAGTGAGGGGCACAGCCTGTGTGTATGGCCTGGGGAGAGGAGAGAGTGAGGGGCACAGCCTGTGTGTATGGCCTGGGGAGAGAGAGAGAGTGAGGGGCACAGCCTGTGTGTATGGCATGGGGAGAGTGAGTGAGGGGCACAGCCTGTGTGTATGGCCTGGGGAGATTGAGATTGAGTATATGGCCTGGGTACGGGGAGAGTGAGTGTATGGCCTAGGCATAGGGAGAGTGACTATATGGCCTGGGTACAGGGAGAGTGACTATATGGCCTGGGTACAGGGAGAGTGACTATATGGCCTGGGTACGGGGAGAGTGAGTGTATGGCCTGGGTACGGGGAGAGTGAGTGTATGGCCTGGGTACGGGGAGAGTGAGTGTGTGGCCTGGGTACGGGGAGAGTGAGTGTGTGGCCTGGGTATGGGGAGAGTGAGTGTGTGGCCTGGGTACAGGGAGAGTGACTGTATAGTATGTGCATGGGGAGAGTGAGTGTATGATATGGCCTGGGCATGGGAAGTGTGAGTGTATGGCCTGGTTATGGTGATAGTGAGTGAAGGGCACAGCCTATGTGTAATAAAGCATCAATTAGTTTAAGCAATTTACTGGATGACCCTATGAGTTAGTGGAGAAGCCTTATGAGGCTAGTCATTTTCCTATTTTGTTTCTAGTTTTGAGATACGTGGGTATATATGTACATTTAGTGTTGATCCAGCTAAACTTAAGTTATTTAAACAAGATACTTACCTACTGTCCAGCTTTCACTCACCCACTTGTGGTTTGAGTGACTTCATTTTTTTGTTTCCTTCTATTTGTATATTATAGGGTTAAGCCCTGCAGACACAGCGGGAGTGCCTTTACTGGTGCATAGATCGTAAGTGGTGTCCCATAGGTATCTGATTATTTGTTTGGACCTATTTAAACATTGTGGTTTTTGGTATTTATTTATGTTTTGTGGTACATCAGCTGTTTACTGTGTGATGCATTTCTGGGAAAATTCATATGAGCACAAATAAAAGCATTGTTCATTGTTGTTTGACTCTTTCGTTGGTTGAACCATGAAAAAGAACTGGTTGCAATAACTATTGAAGTTCTTCGATGGTGTGGACATGTCTGGGTAGTTCTTTCTGTCTGCAAGCAATCAAAACATCATTTTGGGGTTGATCCCCATGGTCTTTCTCCCAGACTTGTTTGCTTTGCTTCTCAATAAATGTGCATTTGTTGTCCATTCTGGATCTTTCCATTAAAGGAACACTCCAGTCCCCCGAAGCACTTGAGCCTGCTGGCGTGTTTTATGCTTTGCAATGGTTTGCCATCATACCAGGCTTGCCAGGCTATACTACTCTACTTTGTAGGCTGGTTTATGACATCTGTCTGCTTCATAGCCGGATGCTGATCTTACTGCTCATTCATTGGCTGAGAGCATTAACTGACCTCTATCAGCCAGTGAAGGAGCATCTCTGCAAGGAAATATGCAGGGAATTGAGATTCGTGCTAATTGATATTAGGCAGCTCGGAAGGCTAGTTCTGGGCTGGCTAATGATTCCTCAGTGTTATTACCGAAGGTAGAGGTGCACATCCGGCAGTAGAGGGGTTAAACTCGCTAAATGCAGCAATTCATAATGGTTTGTTTAGAGGTGTAAATTACTTCTGTGTTGTTCCTAAGGTGTGTTCACAATTACATCCATCTTTTGATAATCTAACTTTACACCTAAATATTTGAATTTATTTATTTATTGTCAGCAGATTTGCTCAGTGTTCAGATCATATTTATATTATACTGTTACCATTGGTAGCCTGGTCCGTCAGTCAATTAGCCACTCATTATTGCCACACTCTGAAAAGTATTCACATGTAGCCTTTTCTTGGAAAAGTATTTTTATTGTATATATCTTCTTGTTACCTCTTCTCCTATAATCTTATGCAATGAACCAGCACAACATTGATAACAGCTTTGATCTTCTGATCTCCAGTCTTTTCATAGATTATAGCGTCTTCAACATGTCTTTCACCGCACCCCTTCTATTCTGCAATATCATTGTGTCCTCTGCTCCTCAACAACCATAGCCAGTAGCTCTGGATCTATATCTCCTCTCTAAAGCAAATCTTGTCCTACTTTAGTAATGTCTCTGCACAACTTCTCTCTTTCATCTGTGATAATGAATGCAGAGGTAATAACAATCTGTTACTTTCTATAGTCAAAACTACAACCCTGGCACACAAATTCAACCCACTACACAGAAAAACTGCTCCCAACATTCCAAATGTCCCTATTTAGAAGGTACAGTCCCTGTTTTGGGACCAAAACCCTCTGTCTCTCTTTTATATCTTAATGTCCCTCTCTTCTAGGAGCTCCATATTATTGGTGTATCCCAGTAATGGGTCTTTAAACTACAATAAACATGTTTAGAAATCAGTCTGTGTACAAAGGATACATTGTTCCAGTTTTAAATCACATTTTAGGTGCTAAATTGTTATTGGCATGTCACCTAAAATGTCTCAGAATAGCCCCCCATATATATATATATATACACACACACACACCTCTGAAATGAAAGTGTCCCTCTGACCAGTTAAAACGTTATTAGATATGCATCTTGCACATAACTGTGTGCTGTACCCATTTAGCCCTTCTCTCTACCTTGCCAAGCATCACTACTTCACTTACCTCGTCACCATCTTTTCTCGCGAACCCACACTGGACTAACAGCTTTGTCTTATTTTTATTCTATTCTTCATGTACGAGACACTGCATTTTCGTGGTTCTTGTCTTACCTTCTTTGTGAATTTGTCTGGAAGTAATAACGTATCATTTTTTGCTAAATTACAGAAAATTTAAAAATGGCAACACCCTTATACTGTTGCAAAATGGTATAATTTATCATAATTAAAACCCCACACAAAGTTAAAACTTACAAAGTTGTTACTTTTGTGCAAAAATTAATGGCCACGGTAACCCAGAACCAGTCCACTTCTCGTTATCTGATTCAGACCACAAATGGGGCCTTTATTGTGGGATCCCTCTCTGTATAATGCAAAATAACTAATCTCTCTAATGTTGGAACTTAGTCATGTGACCACGGCAAACGCTCCGTGCAATAACATAGACTTCATCAGGAGTTAATGATCCCACAAAATAAGGTTCCATCTAATGTCTTCTGAATGCAATTTACAATTTTGTGGTTTGTTGTTGCAGGGTGCTTTATAATACTAACAATGGACATAATATGCAAGTTAAGAGGTGGCAAGATGCAATGCGGGAGATTTCTAATAGCTGTTCTAATAGCAAAAAAGATGCAAAGTGTTTAAGGTAGTCACCGTGGAAACATTGAATTAACAAGGACATTGTATTAGTTGCTATGATGATTGCTCTACTCTGCATATTCTTGTAGGGATTCTTATAAATGTTTTGCTCTGAGTCAAAGGGAGGCAGCCAGAAGAGCATCAAGGTACAATATACTATAGGGGCCCAAACGTTTATCCCCTGCTACTGTAGAACATCTCTCATAATGCTTAGCTAGCTCTCTTATGACAGCTAACATGTTGTCTACCTATTACTGACTTATGGTGGCTATTTAAAATATCCCTAAAGTAGAGTTTGAGTTATGAAATTTTAGGACAGCTCTGTTATGTCCTAGGAGCTTTCAAGATTTGTGTCACGACAATCTTGTTATCTGTGTGGAATGGAAATCATATACACTTCTGTATTTTACCCAGTGTTTTGTTTATTTATTTTGAACACACATTTTTTTTTTTTTCTGCCAAGATTAGCGGGAATTTTCATCTCTGTTCTGCATCCCCAGCTCATCGCTGGCTTTCCATTTTCTCCTGTGACCTACTTTTGTGACACACTGACCTTGCAGAGCGCTCAGCGCAGGACACATGCTGCTGAGAGTTTCCACAGTACACAGACCGCATACTAAGTATTCCTTTGCAATCTGTTGTTCAATACCTCTACATCGCTTCACCACGCTGCAAACTAATGGTTCAAATATTAAACTTACATTCCAGACTGGAGGTAAATTGCTAAAATTCTTTGCAGTGTATAAAGCTGGTCTTTTAAATACCACGACCAAAAACCGTTATATTTCAAACTTCCTAATCTTAACAAAAAGAAAAATCTTTCTATTTTTTTTTTTTTTTTTTAGGTTTTGAATGCTAAACAGAATGTTGGGGGAAAAAAAATACAAAAACTGAAAATTAGATGAAAATTGATTAACTTTTTTGTTTGTTTTGTTTATCTAGGGTTCTAAGTGGCAACCCTGCCTGGAGTTTGTTCTGAGTGCCAAGCTCCTTACAAAGACCCAGGATGTCAAAACCCAAGAGCTCCGAGTCTGTGCGTGTGGTGGTGCGATGCCGACCTATGAACTCCAAGGAATTGTCTGCCGGATTTGAAAAGGTAGTTAACGTGGATGTGAAACTCGGGCAGGTATCCGTAAAAATTACCAAAGGATCTGCTAACGAGCTGCCTAAAACCTTCACCTTTGATGCAGTGTACGACTCCAACTCCAAGCAGGTGGAATTATACGATGAGACATTCCGGCCTTTAGTAGATTCGGTCCTTCTTGGTTTCAATGGAACAATCTTCGCTTATGGGCAGACAGGTACCGGAAAGACATACACAATGGAAGGGTTGCGTGGTGATCCAGAAAAGAGAGGGGTCATACCCAACTCATTTGAGCACATATTCACTCACATCTCAAGGTCTCAGAACCAACAGTATCTTGTGAGAGCCTCTTACCTGGAGATCTATCAGGAAGAAATCCGAGATCTACTCTCCAAAGATCAAAGCAAGCGCTTGGAGCTTAAAGAAAGACCAGACACCGGTGTGT